GCGAGGGCTGTGCCGTGCGGTGGCTGTGCTATTCGGCGCTGCTGTGCGAGTCCAACCCGCCGGCGAGGGTGGCTGCAGGCGAGTCTCACAGCCTCTTCATTGACGGCGAGGGGCGGCTCGCGTCGTGCGGTTTGGCAGCGGAGGGCGGGGAGGACGAGGAGGAGGACGACGAGGATCGTTCAGGCCTTCTCGGTCACGGCGAGGGCGTGCTGCGGCTCAACACGCCGACACGCCTTCCGCTGACGTTGGGTGGCGAGCGTGCCATGAGCGTGTCGGCTGGAGATTCGTACAGCCTCGCCCTCACCGCCGACGGAGCTGTCTGGAGCTGGGGCAGTGGAGGCATCAGCCCGTTGGGCCACGGCGACGAGCAGACCCAGTGGCTGCCCAAGAAGATCGAGGCCTTTGCGGGCCCGCGCGTCATCGCTGTATCGGCTGGAGGCAGCCACAGCCTCGCCGTTACCGCCGACGGCTCTGTCTGGAGCTGGGGCTTTGGAGGCTTGGGCAAACTGGGCCACGGCGACGAGCAGAACCAGCCGCTGCCCGAGAAGGTCGAGGCCTTGGCTGGCCAGCGCGTTGCCGCTGTGTCGGCTGGACGCTACCACAACCTCGCCCTCACCGCCGATGGAGCCGTCTGGAGTTGGGGCTGGGGAGACGACGGCCGGTTGGGCCACGGCGACTACCAGAGTCAGCTGCTGCCGAAGAAGATCGAGACCTTTGCTGGGCGGCGTGTGATCGCTGTGCTGGCTGGAAGCAGCCACAGCCTCGCCCTCACCGCCGGCGGAGCCGTTTGGAGCTGGGGCCGTAGACGACGGCCGGTTGGGCCACGGCGACGAGCAACGCCAGCTCTTGCCGAAGAAGGTCGAGGCGGTGGCTGGCCAACGTGTCGTCGCTGTGTCGGCTGGAGTCGACCACAGCGTCGCCATCACTGCCGATGGTGCCGTCTGGAGCTGGGGCTGGGGACCCTCTGGCAAGTTGGGCCACGGTGACGAGCAGTGCCAGCTGTTGCCCAAGAAGGTCGAGGCCTTGGCGGGCCGGCGCGTCATCGCTGTGGCGGCTGGAGTCGCGCACAGCCTCGCCCTCACCGCCGACGGTGCTGTCTTTGCCTGGGGCGAGGGCGAGTGCAGCTGCCTTGGCCACGGAGAGGACTTGTCGAACCAGCTGCTGCCCAAGAGGGTCGAGGCATGGGCGTAGTGAGAAGGTCGGGGCTCTGTGCGCCCAGCCCCTGGTGTGCACGAGCGCAAGGCCGACTTTTCTCGGCCCTTTCGATCCGGGATTCCTTTTTATTTTAGGGATAAAAACGAAAAAGAAAACGATCTAGGGAGGGATGGGAAGGACGGCACACCCCGCCCCCTAGGATTTTCTTTCAGCCCCGCTTTCTTTTTCTCGCGATGTCTGCCCCGCCGCGCCGCCGCTCGCGCCGCCTCGCCACCGCCGCCACCGCCGCCCCCTCGCCAGACACGCCGCTGCCCGCCCGCCTCCTCGACCTCCCCACGGAGCTCATCGTGCGCGCCCTCTCTCGCTGCGACCCCGCCGACATCGCTCGCGTCGCGGCCGTCTCGAAGCTCTTCCACGCCTCGCTTGCGGTGGAGGCCATCCGCATGCGGGCGCAAGAGCGCGGCTTCGAGCTGCCGGCGCAGCCAGAGGACGATAGCTGCGCCGTGCGGTGGCTGTGCTATTCGGCGCTGCTGTGCGAGTCCAACCCGCCGGCGAGGGCGGCGGTAGGCATGCGGCACAGCGTCTTCATCGACGGCGAGGGGCGGCTCTCGTCGTGCGGCACAGCTTTGGAAGGCGAGGAGGACGACGAGGACAACGAGGAGGAATTGTTTCCAGGTCTTCTCGGCCACGGCGATGGCGTGCTGCAGCTCAACACGCCGACCCGTCTCCCCTCGACGCTGGGCGGCGAGCGCGCGGTGAGCGTGTCGGCTGGATGCAGCCACAGCCTTGCCGTCGCCGCTGACGGCACCGTCTGGAGCTGGGGCGATGGAGGCTATGACAAGCTGGGCCACGGCGACGAGCAGGACCAGTGGCAGCCGAAGAAGATCGAGGTTTTGGCGGGCCAGCGCGTGGTCGCTGTCTCGGCTGGATCCGCGCATAGCCTCGCCCTCACCGCCGATGGCGCCGTGTGGGGCTGGGGCGATGGAGGCGTGGGCCAGCTGGGCCACGGCGACTACCAGCACCAGCCGCTGCCAAATAAGATCGAGGCCTTTGCTGGGCGGCGCGTCGTCGCTGTGTCGGGTGCGAGCGGCCACAGCCTCGCCCTCACCGCCGATGGCGCCGTCTGGAGCTGGGGCCAGGGAGGCTATGGCAAGTTGGGCCACGGCGACTACCAGAGTCAGCTGCTGCCGAAGAAGGTCGAGGCCTTGGCGGGGCGGCGCGTGATTGCTGTGCTGGCTGGAAGCAGCTACAGCCTCGCAATCACCGCCGACGGCGCTGTCTGGAGCTGGGGTAGTGGAAGCTTAGGCAGGCTGGGCCACGGCGACGAGCAACGCCAGTGGCTGCCAAAGAAGATCGAGGCTTTTGCTGGCCAGCGCGTCGAGGCTGTGTCGGCTGGAAACAGCCACAGCCTCGCCATCACCGCCGACGGCGCCATCTGGAGCTGGGGCTATGGAGTCTTTGGCAAGCTGGGCCACGGCGATGAGCAGCGCCAGCTCCTGCCGAAGAAGATCGAGGCCTTTGCTGGCCGGCGCGTCGTCGCTGTGTCGGCGGGAAGCGGCTTTTCCAGCCTCGCTACCACCGCCGACGGCGCTGTCTTTGCCTGGGGCGAGGGCGAGTACGGCTGCCTAGGCCACGGAGAGGACCTGTCGAACCAGCTGCTGCCCAAGAAGATCGAGGTGTGGGAGCGGGAGTGAGCTGTGAGCTGTGAGGGTTCGCCATGCAACTCGCCTCGGACCTGACCGCTGCGTTGCCGGCGTTCCTCGCCTGCACGCCTCCCTCCTGGCGGTCCGCATATGCTCGAGCGCGTGCAGACGGCCGTGGTCGGCGGCGGCGTCGTCGGTCTCGCCGTCGCTCGTGCGCTGTCTCGCTCGGGCCGAGAGGTGCTCCTGCTCGAGTCGGAGAGCCTGACCGGCTCGGGCACGTCGTCTCGCAACTCTGAGGTCGTGCACGCCGGCATCTACTACACCGCAGGCTCGCTGAAGGCGCGTGCCTGCGTCGAGGGCCGGAGAGCGCTCTACTCCTTCTGCGAGGCGTACGCCGTGCCGTACTCGCGATGCGGCTCAAGCTGCTGGTCGCCACCGAGGAGGGAGAGCTCGCCCAGCTGGACGCGGTCGCGGAGAAGGCGCGCGCCAACGGGCTGAGCGGCAGCGGCGAGGCTCTCGTCCGCCTGACCTCCGCAGAGGCGGCGCGGCTGGAGCCAGAGGTGCGCTGTGTGGGCGCGCTGCACTCGCCCTCGACAGGCATCGTCGACAGCCACGCCTTCATGACGGCGCTGCTGGCGGATGCAGAGCGGCACGGGGCGACGCTAGCGCTCGGCAGCAGCGTGGTGGGGGGGGAGTGCGGTGGCAGCGATGCCGCCGCGGGCTGCGGCGCCGGGGGGCGCGTGCTGCTTCGTACAGCCGACGGCACCCAGCTCGCATGTGACGAGGTCGTCAACTGCGCGGGACACGGCGCGCCGCGACTCGCCGCCGCCTTGGGGGGGATGCCGCGCTCGCACGTGCCGGCGGCTCACTTCGCCAAGGGAACCTACTTCGCCCTGAGCGGACGGCGAGCCCCTTCCGCGGCCTCGTCTTCCGCCCGCGTATTTCTTTTTCACCGTATTTCTTTTTATTATCGATGTCGGCGGCACTCGCTTCGTCTCGTCGCGCTCGACGCTCGAGGGTGCCTCCTCCTACTTTCGCTCACTCCTCGTGCGGTGGAGCCCGGTGCGCCCGCAACAGACGCCGCAAGCTACCTACTGTGCACTCCACACCGCTCTGCCATCCCTCCTTATCGCCGTGCGGCACGCGAGGATTGCCGCTCCACGTCCGCGACGCGTCTCTCCTGCAGGCGACGCCGGACGATCCGATCTTCCTCGACTGCGACGCTGACGCGTTTGGCGTGCTGCTCTCGCGTGCCGTCATGCGTGCTGCTGCCGCCCGGCGACGTCGGCCTCGCCACCCGCGTGTTGCTGCTCGCTGAGTACCTCGGCCTCGACGGATTTCTCACGGCGATCAAGGCGAGGGCCTACGCGCACATGCACAGCAGCTGCAGCACCGCCACCGACGCCGCAGCGGCCACAGCCTTCGACGAGGAGGCGGGAGGCCTGCAGCAGGCCATCGACAAGCGGCTGCTGCCGGCTCGCTTCTTCGCGCCGGAGCCGCCGCCGCCGCCGCCACCGCCGGAGGCGGCCGTGCCGCAGCTCAACCGCCGCTTTTCTTTTTTTGACGGCGGGTGGCATTCGTTCTTAGGCGACCGTTCAGACGCTCATCCCGGCGGCGGGCTTCACCGCAATCTTCGCAGACGACGAGATCGACCTCGACGACGACCTCCCGCAGGTGAACTCGGTGCACCGCGTGGTCTCGCCATATCTCCCCATATCCCCCCATATCTCCGGCCGCAGGTGCACTCGGTGCACCGCGTGGTCTCGCCATATCTCGCCATATCTCCCCATATCTCCGGCCGCAGGAGCACTCGGTGCACCGCGTGGTCTCGCCATATCTCGCCATATCTCCCCATATCTCCCCCTCTCCCCACACCGCAGGTGCACTCGGTGCACCGCGTGGTCTCGCCATATCTCGCCACATCTCCCCATATCTCCGGCCGCAGGTGCACTCGGTGCACCGCGTGGTCTCGCTCGCTCTGGTGCAGCTGGCCGACGGCAGCCGCGAGAGGGAAGACGCCACAGCCCCCTCTCTGAAGTGCCCCCGGACCCTTCCCTGAACCTTCCTGCAGGCAGCCGCGAGAGGGAAGACGCCACAGCCCCCTCTCTGAAGTGTCTTCGGACCTTTCCCTGAACCTTCCTGCAGGCAGCCGCGAGGTGGACGCGCTGATCCAGCCAAACAACAACGAGCTTGAGCCGCGCGGAGGAGAGCGCACGAGGTCGCAGCTGGTGCTCCTCTCGTCCAAGCCTCGTCCAATCTCGGACGTGATCTCGGGGTAGGAGAGCGCACGAGGTCGCAGCTGGTGCTCGCCTCTGAGCACGCGCGCGACATCCCGTGGGTGCACTGGGTGGGCGCCCCACCCTACAGCCACAGTACCGAACGCACACTGCGCGCGCGACATCCCGTGGGTGCGGCACTGGGTGCGCATCCCCACCCTACGGCCACAGGACCGAACCCACACTGGGTTCGAGACCCTGGAGTGTACGGTACTAGGTCCTCATCCCCACCCTACGGCCACAGTACCGAACCCACACTGGGTTCGAGACCCTCGAGTCGTACGGTACTAGGTGCTCAGCCCGGCGCGACTGCCCTCCTCGAGAGCGACGCCAACGCGGCGCAACTCGGCAACACCAGCGCAGCCGCCGAGGGCGAGGCGAAGGCACCCCCGAGGACAGTGTTGCCATGGGTCGCTTGAGCGAGCCACGGGAGGTAGGCGAGGAAAGCTAGCGACCGCATCCCATGAGTCCATACAGTGGGTTGCGGGCATTAAGAAAATAGGATTTCTCGGCACGCCGCCGTTTCTATAAGCCTTTCCACAGCCCTCACCCACCCCCCAGGCCGTGGTTTCTTAGCGAGCTAAGAACTCAAGGTCAAGCCAGAGCCGGCCCGAAGGATTTTTAGGTAAGTAAGAGGTAAGCTCAAGCTGCGGTCCGCGAGGGCGATGCCAGAGTCTGCCGCCGAGTCGGCTCTCTGGATGACGGGAAGACGCACACACGCCTCCATCCACTCGCACTCCACTCAGAACACCGCAGACTTGTGGAAAGTGACAAGTGCGCGCGCCGCAGGCGAAGCTGAGGGAGGGTCGGATACCCATCACTGAGCCGACAATGCTACGGGTAGCCCCAGGGCAGCGCCCACCCCCATACCCTCGGGCACTTGCCTGCGCCCTCACGCGCTAGCCCACGCCCTGCCCCGCAAGATCTCACTCCATCCCGGCCTGCGGCATATACCTCGGCACCCCCTTGCACGGAATCTGAGCGTGAGGGAATCTGAGCGTGAGGGAATCTGAGCGTGAGGGAACTTGGGCAGTGCCGCGTAGTGCGGCGTGCGCGCGGGCGTGCGGGCGTGCGCGCGGGGCGTGCGTGGCACCCTTAGCGGGGCGTGCGGGCGTGCGTGGCACCCTGGGCGCTGCCAGTGGCACCCTGGGCGCTGCCGGGTGGCACCCACCCTGGGCGCTGCCGGTGGGCACCCTGGGCGCTGCCGGTGGCACCCTGGATGCTACCGACCGGTGGCATCCAGGAAGATGCTACCGGTGGCACCCTGGGCGCTACCGGTGGCACCCTGGGCGCTACCGGTGGCACCCTGGGCGCTACCGGTGGCACCCTGGGTGCTGCCGATGGCACCCTGGGTGCTGCCGATGGCATCCTAGGCGCTACCGCACCTACCGCTCTCGCATGACATCTCGACAATCCTCATATCTCCAGGCCCAAGACTCCTAACCACTGCCCCTGCTCGCCCAGGACCACGAGAAGCGCCGCCCGCGCGCCCATTGACCCCCCAACCAACCCACTTGCTGTCCCTCAATCGCCACCCGCCAGATGTACTGCCCTCGCCCACCCAATACTCTCACCCTCCTGACCCGGACAGTCCAGGTACAGGAAAAGCGGGGAGCGGGGCCCGATCCAAGGAGCACCCCGTCGGCCCGGGAGGGCTGTGAATTTCGGCGCGGGCGGAAGGCTGCCTGCAGACGCTCAGCCCCCGGCTGAGCTGCCGAATCCTCCCGGCTAATCCCCTGACCTGCCGCCTGAAACGGGACAACATTACACCACCTCACACACACTCCCCCCTCAGGGCTAAGCAGTGCGCAAGTCCACCCGAACTCTAGGCGAGGCATCGACCGCTCCTTTGGAATAGTGCCGTCAGTGGCTGCACTATAGACGCCCATTAGATGGCGCGCGGCGCGGGCGGATGACTAGGGGAGAGAATGCGGAGAGACTAGCTCGCAGGTAGATGTGCTCAGCCAAGGGTAAGGGATGAGGGGAATGTGTCAGTGTGAGGGGTGCACCAACCGCAGAGCGTCATGTTTTGCCTTTGAAAACTGAAAAAAAATGCTTTCGCGCGAAAAACCGGCACACCAATCTCCCTTCCTCTCCCTATCCTCTCTTGGAGCTCTAGTCTCTAGAGTCCACACCCCCCGGCTGCCCCGGGATCGCGTACAAGCTGTGGCTACCGTAGGCCACACTAGCGTCGCTGGGGGTTCCCTGCCCCAGATGGGAAGCTGGCCGCTGATCCGGCACCCGCGCGCACGCAAATACACGCGCAGCGCCCAGAAGCCTGTGTGTCATGGGCGCAAGCCCAGTGCTGGCGCACCATTGCCTTTGAAAACTGAACAGTTTTTTTTACGAGAAGCTGAGTACCGGGGCGTCGGCGACGCGGGCGCCTTGGCCCTTGCGGGCAGAGCCCTTAGCCACCCTTTATCTTGCGCGGTCAAAAGCGGAAAAGCGCGCGCGAAAAAACCGAACACCGAGAAAGAAAACCCCGCATATCTCCCCCCATATCCCATATGTGTCTTATATGGGCATGCACTGGCAACTCGTTGAAAATGAAATGTACCGTGAGAGCCTCGGCCCCAGCCTCTCTACATCCCCTGCGCGTGTGCTGCCTGTCGGCCTCTGCGCTTACCGCTGCTAAGTGCTAGTTGTCGGATGCGCCGATTCCTGAGAGATGGGCCCAGGTAGGAGGCTCCACGCCACCTGACTCGCGTCGTGCCACCTGACTCTCGCCTGGAGAGGCCTCTTAGCCGAGGCACACGTGGCAATCGCCACGTGCGCCAACAGGGATTTCGGCCATTTTAGAGCCTTTTGCACAAAAATGCAGGTGGCTTTAGCCACTTGCTCCATGAGCAAAACAGTGCAAAAAGCACCTGGAGCAGATGGCTTACGCCGCCTGTGGACATGGGCAAAACAGTGCAAAAAGCACCTGGAGCAGATGGCTTACGCCGCCTGTGGACATGGGCAAAACAGTGCAAAAAGCACCTGGAGCAGACGGCTTACGCCGCCTGTGGCCATGGGCAAAACAGTGCAAAAAGCACCTGGAGTAGATTCCAAACGCCGCCTGTGGCCATGTGATGCGCTCGGGTGGCGCCAAGGGCTTCGGCCCCCTCCAAGCCACCTGCCCCGCCCCCCTCGCCACACGTGGAGGGCTGGAGCACGTGCGCCACCTGGGCCCGGGCAGGTGGCAACAGGTGGCTTCAGCCCCCTCCAAGCCACCTGCCCCCCCTCCCTCGCCACACGAGGAGGGCTGGAGCACGTGCGCCACCTGGGCCTGGGCAGGTGGCTCCAGGTGGCTTCGGCCCCTCCAAGCCACCTGCCCCGCCCCCCTCGCCACACATGGAGGGCTGGAGCACGTGCGCCACCTGGGCCTGATGGGTGGGCAGGTGGCGCCAGGTGGCTTCGGCCCCTCCAAGCCACCTGCATGCCCCCCCTCGCCACACCTGGAGGGCCGGAGCACGTGCGCCACCTGGCGCAAGTTTGAATTCGGAAACGGAAAATCCGAGCCACGGAAGGGCTGGCCTGCCAAACGCGAGCCTCCCCGCTCCTCCCCGCGCTGCAAACTGGGACTGTGGGGTGTGTGAAAGAGGGCCTGCGGCGGTCATCGGCGGCTACAATCAATGTCCGGCGTCGACATAAGCCTGGGGCTTCAACCCGGCCCGCGCGGGCGTTTGGTGTGGCTGCAAACGCCGCAGGAGCCGGTGGCTGCGCTGCTCACGCGCCGTTGCTGCCGACGCTGAGCAGTCTGACTCGCCAATGAGAAGACTGCCCGATAATACGCCATCACTCGATCCCCGATAAACCAGGCCATGCAGAGCTTTGTCGGCCTCGCCGACGTCGTGTGCTGGCTGCGCGGTAGAGTTGCGAGAGTGGATTGTGGAGGCGCGGCGGGGGCGGCTCGTGGTGCCGAGGCGGTGTATAGTACATTCCTATTCAAAAGAACACGCACGATGAAATTCCCGAAGTGACGCCCAGGTGGCGCACGTGCTCCAGCCCTCCAGGTGTGGCGAGGGGGGGCATGCAGGTGGCTTAGAGGGGCCGAAGCCACCTGGAGCCACCTGCCCGGGCCCAGGTGGCGCACGTGCTCCAGCCCTCCAGGCAGGTGTGGCGAGGGGGGCAGGTGGCTTGGAGGGGGGCGAAGCCACCTGGCGCCACCCGAGCGGTCACATGGCCACAGGCGGCGTTTGGAATCTACTCCAGGTGCTTTTTGCACTGTTTGCCCATGGCCACAGGCGGCGTAAGCCATCTGCTCCAGGTGCTTTTTGCACTGTTTTGCCCATGTCCACAGGCGGCGTAAGCCATCTGCTCCAGGTGCTTTTTGCACTGTTTTGCCCATGTCCACAGGCGGCGTAAGCCATCTGCTCCAGGTGCTTTTTGGACTGTTTTGCTCATGGAGCAAGTGGCTAAAGCCACCTGCATTTTGTGCAAAAAGCTGCAAAGGACTCGTGGAGGCACGTGGCGCTTTCCGCGTGTGTCTCGTTCAAATATTCCTTTTTTTGGCTTTCAGGTGGCACGACGCGATTCAGGTGGCGTGGAGCCTCCTACCTGGGCCCATCTATGCGATTCCTCACGGCGAGAGAGAAGGCGAGCTCTCTCTCGCTCCGGAGCAGCAACCAAAAGCCCAGGGGACGGGCGTCGAAGAGGCCGCGCGCAAACGACGACAACTCCGACTCGCAGGGCGGACAGGGCCGCGAGCAGCGGAGGCGGGGGAGCGGCGACACGAGACAGACCTGACTCTACTCCTCGGCCGCAGGGGGCGGCGGGGGCGGGGGCGGAGGGGGGACATAGTTCAGCGCCGAGGCGGGAAAGTACTCGAACAAGTCGCCAAAGTCCTGCCGGCGCGGCGAGTGTGCGCTGAGAGCGCGCTGGCCCCGAATCCCGCGAGGCTGGCCCCAGGTCCCGCAAGGTGACGCAGGCGGCGCGGCGGTGCGAAGGCGGGCGGCGGTGCAGGGGCTGGGCGGCGCGCTTTGTCGAGCTTCACAAACCACTTTTGGACGTTGGCAATCTTCTTCGGCGTGCGCTCCGGGTCGCCCTTCTTGAGGCGGGCGGCGTTCTCCAGCTCCGTCAGGTCGTAGATGATGCTGGCGCAGGGTGCAGGCGCAGGGCAGTCGGGAGCAGGGCAGTCGGGAGGGATCGGCCGGCAGGTGAGGGCGGGAGGTGGGGCTGGTGTGCACCTGCGGGTGCGCTGGTCGGTGGTGAGCTGGGTCTGGTCGTCGAAGACGGTCGTGACCACGTTGAGGTCGTCGCGCAGCTTGGAGAAGTCGAACTCCTTCCGGATGACGGGGATCAGGTTCATGTTGCCGTCCTTTGCAAACTGGTCCTGCAGAGAGATGGCGGACTTGCGGTACTGCTTGAGCGCGGCGATGCCGTCCCGGACCGACTTGGAGGCGAGCAGCTCGTCGTCCAACTCCGCATCCGCCGGCTTGGTCTTCTCAATCCCCTGCTTGGGCGGAAGCAATCCGGCGAACGACGCAGGCGGCGCAGCGGCGAGCCCCGCCGCGCCCGCGCCCAGCGCGCCGGCCTGGCGCAGGAGCGCACGACGCGAGGTGGGCGGCTGCGGCGATAGCCCGGGCAGCTGGATCGCGAGCAGGCTGAGCATTAGAGCGAGAGCTGTGCGAGCTCACGCTACTCCCTCCCTGGGTCTCTTCCCACAGGAGTAGCTGACTATAGTCGAGCGCGTCGGAGAGGTGTTCGACACCGAGAGCTGAGCTTTGCCTGCGCAGATTCCGAGAAACTTCTGCCCGAGTCATTCTTTGGTGCATTCTTTTCCTCTCCATCATTACAGTTTTTCCGCTCGCGAGGTGCGTTGAGGGGCCGTATGTGTAATTCTCGCCGAGGAAGCTGCTTGCTGTAGAGGAGGGCGCCTGGGTCTAAATTTAGTGCGTGTGAATGAACTTTAGTGATAGTTTAGTGCGCTATTTAGTGCGTGTTCGAGTGCGTATATAGTGCGACTTTAACGCAAATTTAGTGCAAATTTAGTGCAAATTTAGCACATATTTAGCACATATTTAGTGTGTTTTATCTCCAATTTAGCGCCACATTTAGTTCACTTTAGGTGCGGGCAGCTGCAGTACATTTAGTGTGGGTCCCGCATCTTTAGTGCGGGCACGCACCTTTAGCACGGCTTCCCGGCCACACCACAGCTAGCCAGGGCCGCGTGCTTTGCTCCTTGGCTGCCAAGAATGCACCACAGGAGATGCCTGGCCCCTGCCCTCATGACCCAAAGGCAGGCTCCCAGTGAGGCTAGATATGCCGCCCTCCAGAGCAAGATCTCCCGACTGAGCACAGGCACAGCACCGATTCCCGAGAGGAGGACCAGCACAGTTGAATGCGCCACCGCAAGCACCACCTCCGACCGCACAACCCATGCTGTGCCCGTGACCACCAGCTGTAATAGAGTAGAGGTGAGGGTCGGTGTTGGAATTTCAAAACCAATGTTGAACCAAAGGATGAAGGATCCAGACCACGATGACAGAAACGGCCAAATGGCCATGATCCATGTAGTCACCGCAAGCAGCTTTACATACGCGTGTACTCGTAGCATGTTGGATCCAGCCCCAGGCATGCACCTCCTCCTAAGTGCAATGGCAAATACACCGGGTTTTCTTCGTTCGGTTGGGGACGGGACGGGGAACTTTTGCGAGTGGGCAGGGGACTGCAGGGGGACAGGGGGAGGGAGGCCCAGCGAGGGGCTGCGGCTGGATCCTACTGCGCGGCTGGACTAAAGACGCACTAAACCTCGCTAAATCTGGATGTAAAGTCGCACTAAATTTGCGCTAAATTTGCGCTAAATTTGCACTAAAGTTGCGCTAAATTCGCGCTAAATTTGCGCTAAAGTGCGCTAAAGATGCAGTAGATAAACACTTCACACCGCACTAAATTTAGATCCAGGCGCCCTCCTGTAGAACAACTGCAGGAGGAGCAACGAAGAGCAGGATGCAATTCGGCCAGGGCGGGGGCGGGGCCGTCAGCGTGTGCATGCCCGTCCGGTCCGGCCAAGAGTCTCCGCGGCTGCACCTCGGCAGCGTCCGTGTCGACTTCATGGACACGCATCCAGCATACTGCACGGTAAACAAGTTTGCCTTCTGCTACGCCAAGTGCGAGGTTCTCCAGCGGATGACGTCAAAGATGCTGCGAGGCACTGCCGCCGTCGCCCTAGAGGCGGCGTGCTCAGAAACCGAAACGGGCGCCCAGCTGATACTGGTCGTCTGCAATGGAATCGTCGTCGGCAGCGTCGGTGGAGAGACGGCTGCGACGCTCGCCGGCGCGATTGCCGCGGGCGAGCTCGATCTCGTGGGCGGCAACAGGGCACCCTCGTGGAGCGAGGCCGACTTTGACGTGTTTCTCCTCGGCCACCGCAGAGCGGGCGCCGCGTGCGAGTGGGCGGAGCGGCTGAGCGCGCGCTGCGATGGCTTCGAGGCGCACGTCTGGGCCGAGAAGAGAGACTGCTCTAGCGGAACCTGCGAGTGCTGTTAGTGATGTTGTGCGTCGCGCATTGGAGCGGCCGTCGCCCCTCGTGCGTCGTGGAGAGACAATACTGACGTATGCCGGGGAGCTCCGGGACACGGCCGGGACAGTGGGAGATCCCACCGATCGAGATCTCCAGATGATCCGGATGTGTTCATGCATGTCTAATTTGTATAAACGATTGTATACGTGTATACGCCGCGCGCAGTTCCAAAACCCGCCCACCATATCTTTCCTCCAGCACACCAGGCACGACCCTCGACTGCGTGGCGAGCGCGAAAAATCCGGCGTCCGAACGCCGCGCCGCGCGGGCGCATGGCGCCACCGGAGCCGGAGCCGGAGCGAGCTTTGCTCTGGAGCTTGACGCGCCTCGAGGCAAGCTGGACTTGAAAGGCGCAAGCAAGAGGCGAGGCGGCCTCGCGGCCCTGCCCGCGCAGAGAGAACGGCGGCCACCCTTTCCGCCGTCAGCAGCGCGCCTTTGCGAGGGAGTAGAGGAAGACGCCGCCGATGGCGACGGCGGATCCGAGCGCGCCGGCAGGAGTGAGCGGGTTGCGGAAGACGACGAGGGAGATGAGGATGACGGCGACGCGCCTATGGGAGTCGAACCGATGGGGAGTGAATCGCTGCGTGAGGTGCACGGAGTGCCCTGCCGAGAGGCAGAGGGGAGGGGAGGCAGAGGGGAGGAGAGGAGGGGAGGCAGAGGGCAGCGGAAGACGCGCTTGTGACGGTATGTTGGCTCGAATCTCGGCGGTATCTCGGCGGTATCTCGGCGGTATCTCGGCGGTATCTCGGCACGCGCTTGACGGTGTTGGCGACGGCGTGCGTCACCGGGTGAACCTACATGGCGAGATCTCGCCGAGATCTCGCCAAGATCTCGCCGAGATCTCGCCGAGGTGCGGGCGACGGCGTAGGGCTCGCCGACGAGAGGGCGAGGAAGGCGCACTCATTGTAAAAGTAGTGCGACGTGCCTATCACAGCAGGAATATGGGAGTAGCAGCAGCAGCAGCAGCAGCAGCAGCAGTAGCAGTAGTAGCAGTAGTAGTAGTAGTAGTAGGAGCAGGAGCAGGGTGGGGGTAAGTAAGTAAGTAAGTGAAGTTGTGCAGTAGCGAAAGTAGTGCGACGTGCCGAGGAGCAGCAGCTGGCGTGCGAACGTGCGGCGGCCCATCTTTTCGACGGTCGCGGCGGTGCCTGGCGGCAAGACGGTGTGGGTGAGGTGTGGGCGAGGTGTGGGTGAGGTGTGGGCGAGAGGTGGAGGTGTGGGTGAGGTGAGGGCGAGAGGTGTGTGGGCGAGAGGTGGAGGTGTGGGCGAGGTGTGGGCGAGAGGCTTGGGCGAGGCGAGTGCCCGCGGCGATGCGAGGCCCCTCGACGAGAGCGGCGACGGGGAGGCAGCCGAGGAGGGCCATGAGGGTGAGCACTCCGTACAGGTTCTGCGAGGTGAGGTTCGAGCCTACAGACGGCGGGAGAGACACGTCCGAGACACGTCCGAGACACGTCCGAGTCGAGGCGCGGGCACGAGGGGAGGGGGAGGCACGAGCCGATGTCTCCGCCCGACATGACGCTCTTGGCGGCGATGGCGCGCAGCGCAAAGGCGACGTTGGAGAGGAGGCCTAGACACTTGCGAGACACTCGCTAGACACTTGGTAGACACTGCCAGACGAAGGCGACGTTGGAGAGGAGGCCTAGACACTTGCGAGACACTCGCTAGACACTTGGTAGACACTGCCAGACGGAGGCGACGTTGGAGAGGAGGCCGGAGGTGAGCGAGACGGCGGAGAAGGAGACCTGGCGGTGTCGGAAGGAGGTGGATGTGAGGGCCACGGGCCGGTGTGGCCAGGCACGTTGTGCCGAGGGTGCTTGGGCAGTGTGTCTAGGAAGTGTCTGCGCAGTGTCTCTGGCAGTGTCTAGGAAGTGTCTAGGCAGTGTCTAGGAGGTGTCTGTGCAGTCCCGAGGAAGTGTCTAGGCATTGTCTGGAGGTGTTAAGGAAGTGTGTCTATGGCGGAGTGAGCCTCCGAGGCAGAGGCGAGGCAGACGCCGAAGACGACGGGCAGCAGCGAGAGGTAGACGGGGAGAGGGAAGGTCTGGCCGAGCAGCAGCGCCGAGAAGGCGCAGGTGAAGAGCGGCTCGAGTGTCTTGACGACCTACAAGGCCAGAGGCGAGCCGGTGCTGTGTCCCGCAGGCCGGCGAGGGCTGGGGGCGGAGGAGGGAGAGGGGAGAGAGAGAGAGAGAGAGAGAGAGAGAGAGAGAGAGAGAGAGAGAGAGAGAGAGAGAGAGAGAGAGAGAGAGAGAGAGAGAGAGAGAGAGGGGCACGGCGGACGTTTGTGAAGGCGACAGTCCCGTACGCGGGTGCGACGGTGGAAAGGAGGTGGCCCGCCGCGAGGCAGGAGGCGACCGGGACGAGCTTCCGCACGTCATTCGCGTCGAGCGACGGCGGCGACCGCAGCCGCAGCCGCTTCTCGCCTCCGAGC